CCAAATAACCGAAGCCATGATACATCCACCCGTGGAGCAGGCAGAAGTTCAAGGTACATGGATTTTGTTTGTTTGTTTTTCTGGACCACACTTGTAAGGTAGCTTCCTTTGGCCAGGAGACAGCACCATTTCACAAAGCAACCCACAGGCAGGACGTCCTAGAGAGAAGAGCATACTGTGCTCCATCGTGTAGGCAGGCGCTTTTTTTTTTTTTTTGGGGGGGGGGGGGAATACTTTCCCCCACCCCCTTCTAAACAAAGTTCTGGCATTTACAACAAAAATACTTCCTCCCAATAGGTGTCCATTTCATTGCCTCATGCACACAAAGCACACTACCTCTTTTAGACAAACCAACCCCTCAAGCCACCTGCAATCAGCCAGCCAGATGTTTCGTATCTCAAAACCCACAGGGCCACTCTGACAGAAGCAATAACAAGTGAGGCAGAGGAGAATTATGGCCCTCACAGACAGCACTGACCACCATATTTTTATAGTTTATATATATATATTTTAAAAACCACACACACAGTATCTCCATACTACAGCAACATGTGTCTAGACATATAGTCCATTTGTACATCAGCCACGCAGAGTACGTGACAACTCATGGACTCTCTATAGCGATCCCTTCTCAAGGCCCAGGCACCAGCTGTTGGCATCCCACCCACTTCATAAGAAAGTAAGATGGACTTCCTAGCTTCTTGGGCGTTTCTCCTGACCATTCTTTCCTCCTGTGTTTGTCACAGGATCACTAGGTCACTAATCCTTAAGGGAAAAAGGTTTTTTCCCCCCTCCTTTTTTTCAGGTCCCACTGCTGAATGTCAGATCTTTTCCGTCTCTTCTCATGATTCTGAGCATGGATGTACAGGATAGTGAGGAAAAGCCTCACTTCTCATGTCCCTCAAGGGACTACAGTCTAGTGCAACGACTGGGACAGCCTCCCAAATGATTTTGGTTGGCTGGGAAAGTGTTTTGTTTTACATCTTTTGACATAAAAGTAAACACTCATTAGGAAAAAAAAAAGGAAGAGATGAAGATTAGCGAATAGATATTTTATCAGTGGCCACTCAATAAGCGACACATATAACAGTTACTGACAGCAGAAGCAGACACACATATGTACCATTCAACCTCTTTAAAAAAAAAAACCATCTGCCCTGTCTTGTGGCATCTATTGAATATCAATAATTTATTTATTAGGATACGCCACAAACAATAAGCAAACAGTCACCATCCAGTCCTCAAACTGGATGATGTTTAGGTGTCAAATAAATCCAGAGCAAGTTTTCCACCACAGAGATGTAAAATACCAAGAATTTATTGCAACTTCAACATATCTTGCATAGGTAACAATCTGCATGTGTAAAGCACAAGTCTTTTACGCTTCAAATACATACCTGGTCCTCCTTCTGCTAGATACTGTATAGACTCAGGACACAATTTACAGCCAAGGCAGGTTATAATCCTCAGGAATATCTTTGCTTGCGGTTACCCTCGCGACAAGCAAGCTGCATTAGCTTTTGTGCTGTGCCATGTACCAAAGCCATTAAGCTTCCAGCCCTCCCGAGACTGCTCGCCCAGGAGATTTTATAGCAGCTGGCACTATGCCGCAGCATAAAGTAAATCGATTAAATAAGGGAGAGCAAAGAAGCAGTAGGCATTTCCCATATTTCCATGGGGCCCTAGGTGGCCCAGGAGAGAGACAACAGACCCTTTATAGGTAACTCAGATCTCCCTCTACATTGTAGTTGCTCTCACTGACCCCCCCACACTTGGCCAGCATGACCAATACAGTCTCAGAGCAGGTTCTCCAAGCCAGCGGCTCTACAAAAGGGCCTGACAGAGGAAAGTGATTCCAAAGAAGGGTAAAGAGAACCTGTTTCACAAGTGCAGAATAAGTCAAAAGAAACAAGTGAAAGCCATGTCTTGAGAACGTGCAAGCAAGTACTGACAAATGAGGTGGGATAAAAATCACATCTTGTCAGATCTCAGTCAAGCAGCTTATATCTGATATGATGAGAAAGGAGAAAGCTAAAGACAGTGAGGTATCTGGGAGTTAAGTTACAGATGACTGGAGCGGATGCAAATCCTTAGCTAAAACGCAGCAATGTCACAGCTGCACACACATAGGAGCTTCACATAAGGTACCAGAGCACTGGCCAGTGCTAAGCCCTAAAGAGGGGAGAGAGACACGCAAAAAGCAAGTTAATGAAACACATATCATTTGACGGCATACAGAGAAGGGCATCAAAGCCTACGGACACCGCTGGGCAAGTACTTCACAGGTTCCAGGACAGGCTCTGGAGCAGTCAGAGCACCTGTATGTTGGTCACAAGCTAATGGGAAAGAGCCATCTCCTTCTCAGGCCAGCCTGCCAGCCACTTCCCCTGTGCCCATCAGCATTAAGACAACATGGCCATAAGCCAGCAGCGATGGGGGAGTGCTCTCCAGTAGGCAGCTGCAAAGTTGTCGCTGCTGTGGGCGAGATTGTATTTGGAGGGAAACTCTGTGTGCCAGTGGGGAGCAGGCATTTCAACTCCTGCTTTTGTTTATTTGTGGCTTGTATTTTTTGATGTCATTCAAACTTGAATTATCTCCCAATAAACTGTTGCCTGCAATTACTGCTTCCAGAATGGCTACATTTTATGCTTTCCTGACACACTGTTAGAGAGAAATATATTATTATTATTTTCAAATCAGTGCTTAAATGAATAATTCGTAAACATCAGTGAGCTTTAGTTGAAATCTAGCAACAGGTCTAAAAATAACTGTTGTGCCAATGGGTAAATTCTGGTAAATCACTGAATCAAAAGGCTTGTGACAGAGGCAGCTGGAAGACAGAAATAAAGTTGTTTCTTCCCCTTTGTTTTCATCATGGAAAAAAAAATTTTGCCTAACAAAGAAAAAAAAGTCTGAAACGTCCTATATCAACCTTTCATTTTCCTCAATAATAAATTAATTCCAACATTCAGACTAATACATCACAGGAATAAGTCATATGTATCCATTCTGGTTCAGCATTACTTTTTTTGTTTTTTTTAAATCAGTTTCCAGAGAGTCTGAAGTGTAGGGGAAGAAAAGCCTTGAAGTTCCCCAAGGAAATTTGCACAACAGATGGTGTGTAAGATAGTGTAGTTTCACAGGTTTGATTAGAAGAGATAGTGATATCTAGTGGGTTGAGTGTGGGATTGAGCCAAGTTTTCAAATCTTAATCCCTGTTCTACCGCTTGCTTGCTGCGTAGCCTGTGGCAAGTCACAGGGAATTCTCATTCCGCGTTATTGCAAAACACAAACACGAAATATTTCCACAGGACTGCTTAGAAGGATTAGTTGAAGATTTCACTTGCTTAGGAGATCTTAAATGCTATGCAAGTGCTAAGAATTGCTTTACCATACGCTGTAAGTGAGATGCTATTATAGCGAATCAAAGCCTGCATAGTCATACAACCCAAAATGGTACTTCTGAGAAAGTGTGTTGTTTGTAACATCTTCACTCTAAGCAGACCATCCAGAAAAATACCTGGTAATTGATTTCAGTAAAACTATACATACTGAGACAAATTCAGTGTGAAATTTTTCGTGTGGTACTGCTATAAAATGTGCTACTTTAAGGATTAAGTTGATGAGCAGAATTCTGGACAATTACTGTAAATAGCAACTGCTCTAGATAGCACTATAAAACTAAAAGGTACATACACACACACGCTTTGTCCCCCAGTGAAACCTTCACAGAAAGGATTTTGCTCCACAAACATCTCATAAAATGCCTTAAGGTCCCTAATGGGGGCCTTAAATGCTTACTGCTTGAAGTCAGCATTCACTTTTGCAATATCTTCTCTCATGCTCTTCCTCTCTCAAGTTTAGGACTGTAATGCAGATTTAATTATTTTAAGTCAGAAGCTAAATAGCTTAAAGAAAAAAACAGAAAGTGGTAATTGGGAATAATTTTAAGGAGGGCTATTCCTAACTAGCTTTTATATGAATGATCCAGCACATTTCTATTCCACCACCACCTTGTGAAAACATCTTAATTCAGCTCAACTGAGGATTCCTTCAACATCATGCCAAGAGATGAAGCGTTTCCATTAACTTGCAAAGTTTCTGGAGAAGGCCATGGTTAGCGGGCAGAATCAAGCCTAAGAAAAGGCCTGAGGAATTTCCTAGGCAGGTTCTGAGCTACACGAGAAACAAGCAGGTCACGTATCAGCTGAAGACAGAAACAGAAATGGCAGAGACGGTGAACTATTTGATTCCCAAAGACCATTTCATATGCTTGAACTAGAAATTTCTGTCGCCCAGTGCTGGTGGTAGAGCAGCAGAAAGCATGTATATCACCACCACAGGCTTGGCTTCTCACTTACCTGACCTCTCAGCATGTCCTTGATGGTTTTATATCTCTCCAAAGCCCATGACACGTTCCTTATGTTCAGTTTGCAGAACTAGTTTGAACGACCCACAAGAAAAGCGTGGGTGAACAAACAGGACTGGAAGCCCAGCAATAGCCCAGGATATCTTGGCCACCTAGGATAATCGCCCTCCTTTCTACAATCAGTTAGTAGGTGGAAACAAGTCCATTACTAAAACCTATCAGGGCTGCAAATATAATACTGTATTGGCTAGCAATGACAGCCCTCTTGCTGGACTAACCACATGTCAGCTTAGTAATAAGCATGACACACTGAGGAAAACATTGTCAAAGTAACTTGTATAGACTCTGGCAGTCAACACTACAAGATGGGTTAGAAGAAAAGGCAGGAGGAGAAAAAAAAGTTCCTCCAATGCACCACAGCAGTGAAGCCAGTGAGTAGTCCTAGGGGTCTTCCACAACACACGTGTCTATAACATCTGGCTCTAGTGCTAGGAAGGATACAGGTACATGAAGTACAACCATTATAAGGCAACACAAGTCCATGATTCAGATTCACGTCAAAAGTCTCTATTCATTTCCTCTTTAATGAAAAAAAGAAAGAGTAAAGTGTTTGAAGCAAAAACATTCAGTGTACTCTTACAGAAAAAAAACACAGATGGAAAAATATTTATCCGCTCCAGGGCAGCAATCTTCATTCACACATCCAGAAGCGCATCAAGTTCAAAGAAGGGGAGTTCCAGGTTCAGAGCAGAAGAGAATGCTTCACATCTCAAGAGCACATAAACATTAAACCAGCCAGTTCCCCAGAGTTGAGTGGCTGAGGTTGTGGTTCTCAATCAACACGAGCATTAATGCAGCACTGTGGACAGAATCACCAAGCAGCAAGATTATGAGTGTTACAAGCAAAAGTCAGAGTTGTCAGAAACATGAGTGAGACACTAAAACCTTCCCACATTCCCACAGGCTTGAAAACATGTTTGTATCTGTTCAATCCTGACATCACTGCAAGTCATTACTTGGAATCAAAAGAGATGGCAGGAGGGGAGATGTACTGTAGACACCTACTACCAGCCACGTCATCGTGTAGCACTTTGTGCTCAGGGCTTCTTGCTGCCTCCCCTAAGTGGAACATGGTAGGCTGGATTTCTTAAGTTTTTTGCCATCTGTTTGTGTGTTTTTTTTTTATTGTTCCTCAAAGTAAAAAGTTTTTAAATAACCACTCCTATTGCTGTAATTGTCAGCCGTATGGAAAAAGACTGCCTCCTCTCAAACTGAGTTTAGTTGTGGCTTTGACCTTATTTCTCTTATGTACAATTGCATGTAAACTATGCTATTATTTCAGAGTGCCTTATCATTCCTTCTAGGCTATATCTGTATCCACAAAGATGAGCTGCATTTTATTTTGGAGCAAAAGGTCAACCTGCATCAGAAAGATTTGGAATTACAGGAGAAGTGAGATTGAATGGGATCTGGTTTGTTTAGAAAGCAAATATGTAGCTATATAAGACACTGCCTTTTCATTTCATTTCTGTAAAGCAGTAGCATGAAACGTAAGTTTGTTTTTCTCTAATGAAATCATTTCTCTGACACATTTTCTCATGCTTAGAATAATACTATTTCTTTTCCCTTTAATCTTTCAGATTCTTCCAGGAAAATCAAGGACATCTCGCATCAATCAGTGTGGTTAAGATTTGTTTCACATCAGCCTGCTGTTTAGTTAGCGTCTGCATCACCTTCATTCAAAAGCAGCAATGTTGTGTTTACTAGCTATCCTAGGAAGAAAACTATGCAAATAATTGCAGATACTTGAATGAATCTTCTCTAACAGAAGGCGATTCCTTCACCCGCGAGTTCCAAGATCCCGCTCACACTTTCAGTTATTCTCCACCTCACTTTAAGCAAGGCTGTTCCACTGGCTTCACAGACAGAAACCGTAAGATCAGATGAAGGAGATGTAAGTTTTCTGCTTTAAGCTCTATTAAGAAAAATGTCTAAGTGCTATGGATAACTCTGGCCACCCTTTTTCACTGTCCCACAGAGCAACAGAAGCAGAGCCTTTCACGAGTGCACTCTTAAGACAGTGAACCGGTCGCAAGGGATTTAGTTGACTATATCCCTACAGTCACATTCTCAGTTTTTGTCACTCAGGACAGTTAAATCATGTTAGATAAGTCTGGGGAATTGTAAATTGTCACTGTGAATCCCTCCCCCAATTATCACAGTACAAGATATATGTTAATTCTATGAGGTGAAGGGTATTTTCCAACATCTCAGTTTATTTCCTTAGTTCTAAGGATTTAAAAGTACTTTTATTTAAAATTATTCCTAAATTTTTTGGAGTGAATTTTAAGTTGCAGATTTTTAACTATTTTTCATATACAGGCTGAACATCAAATGACTAAATTTTGATGGTAGGATAGCATTTCATCTTTGCTACTAACATTAGTAAAATTCATATAACCAGAAATCCTCAGGTATGTGATTACCTTTTTTTTAAAAAATAGATATCCATTCATATATGCTTAGAATATACTCTGGTGATGAACGCATTTCTGCCAAGAAGTTTCCTGCAAGAACTTTAGTGAGAAACAGCAAGTAATACTTGAAAAAGACATCTCGGTGCCCTTCATTCTCAGAGCTGCTCCCAAATCACTCGCGACAAACTTTAGGCATTACTTTAGTATGTCTCCTTTAATGCGAGTAGAACTGCAGCACTACCACACAAATGCCCCAAAAAGATAAGTTAAGCAACTTCCATGAACAGTCACTGGACCAAATTTTTCTCAGGACTCAGGAATTACCAAGAATCATTAAAATCTATTTTAAGAAAGACTTTAAGAAAGTACTTTGAGATATATTACTGCAGACTTGCCATTCTCCACAAACATTACCTTAAAGTAATGAAACGGTAAAACACCCTCTCCCCTGTTTACCCATCTTATTTCCATGTCTGGCTCAATGCCCTCCTTGGAAGTCTTGGAGAATAAAAAAAAAAATCTATTCCTCAGTAATATTAACAGTTCTTTCCCTTTCATTTCTAAGGACATATTGCTTTCCATTTATGACACTTCCTAGTATAGTTTATGAGAGCAACTAGCAAGAACTAAGTGTTGCTTTTCTAACCAAAATACTGTCATCAAGGACATTTCCAGACCATCTGATGGGACGAAAGAGCAAGCAGTTCTATGGCATTAGAAACAGAGGAGTCGGTTCTTTTCCAGTAGAAGTTCTTCAGTAGTGCTTTAGACAAACATGAAACTTTTGTATAAACGCTAATGCAGGTGATCTTAAAGTCAAAGAGATCCATGACAGCCCTTATAAACTTATGCTGTCTGAATCAGTGATTAAGCTTTCCAGCCTTTTCCCTCATTCAGCTTGAAAACTGGATGTCATGTTAGACTCCCTGAACCTCTGTAACTACAGGGAAGTCAGCAGCACTTGGCTTGGGTTCCAATTACAAAGAATTACTTTTGAGGCAATTCACTGCATTTCTTATGCTGCAAAGACCAAGAGAAGTTTGCAAAGCGTAAGGTTAGCCTGCTACCAAACACAGCCTCTGCCTCCCCTTGCTGCTGCAACCACTCTCTTACCTGCCACCTCCATGACCACTGTAAGAAACATGCTTTGGCAAGTAACTCGACGCGAGCAGAGAGTCTCAGCATACTAGCTCTTGAGCTACTGCTTTTGAGCTCATTTGCTGCTCTACTGCTACACATATATCTTTTCATACCCTTTGAAGGCTCTTTTTAACCTAGATTCTAAAACATCAGAATTTGGTATAATAACCTCAGCTAGAAGAACATGACATTGCACCTCGGTTTTGAACCCCGTGTGAACAGACTTGATACTAGCAGAATTTAATCAGCTTCACAGTCAAGCACAGGTTTCAGAAATCAAACTGATTGAGCCTCTAAGGGACTGACTTGAAAGCAAAGCATGCAGACCTTTTTATTTCAGTAGGGCCACAGCACCATGGGCAGTAATTGCACCAACACAATATCAAAGGTTTCCAGACTCTTTTACAAACTGAATTAATGGTCACCGAAAAGGTGTCAGGTTAAATTTAGCTTTCAAGCTTCTCTGTAATATATCTTTCAAAAAGGTAGTTGGATATACCACACAAAGACATTTCTAATTATTCTATGCCTACGCAGAAAGAGTAAGGTGGGGGAAAAAAAAGAGAAATAGGTACAGGCCATCTTAATATTTCCTACCCCTAAGTTTTCCCCTCCTTCTAATTTAATGAATAAAGCTTTCAGAGCTATTCCAGCTTTAAAGCTGCGCTCTGTTTATGGAAAGACCATGCAGGGTTTTTCCATCGGCCCCCCCACCTGCTAGTGGCTGCTGGCATTCTGCCTAGAGGAGCTTGCAGATACCTTGCTGGGGCCAGGGCCTTTTCCTGCTCTTCTGGAGATAAGGCAGGAGATTAATTCCAGTAGGAAACAAGCGAGGAAAGGTCACAGCTATAGGAAATCATCATCATCAGTGCTGCCACAGTGATATAAGTACACAGTTTCACTTCCCTCCCCGGTACTGGCAGGATCTAGATCTTAAAATATTTTGAGTTTCTTCCTGCCTTTTAGTCAAAGCTACGCTTGATGTAAATCCTCAGCTGCAGAGCCTGCTCAGAGAAGCGAGAACGCCGCTTAGGTGAAGTCTCAAAGATGACCAAGACCTCCACTTGGAGCACACACCTCTTCCATATAGGCTGTGTGCTCATTAATGTAAAGATACCTTGTTAGAGCACATCAAATTTCAAAATTCCACTTCAAAATAAAATCTGCATTCCAGAAGAGCACTGAATGGATCTCAGTCAAAGGAGGAAACAAAAAAAAACCAAAACAGCTGTTACAAAAAAGACTGTTATGGTCTCACAGAGAGGACTGAGCTCTCAAAGGAACAGGCTATGAACCTGCATTCCTCCGGTGATCCCTACCATCCAGTCAGGCTAGAGACACAAATCCCACTGAAGGCTAGGCAGTACTAGTTATTTAACCTTTCCTACAGTTTGAAAATCCTACCAGTTGCCTACATGCTCAGTCCCCAAATCTCTTTGGAAGTTTGACCTAGTGAGGCTACGTTAGAAAATAAAAATCAGCACAGATCTGGCTCAAAGTACTAGGCATTAACACTTGTGTGCAGAGGAAAGTTACATTTTTTAGCATTTCTTAAACTCTTTTCTTGAACTTTTACCCTCTTGTTGGGCATTTTCAAATTGAGACAGGCTCTTGTAGGCACTCCTCTAATTTCCTTGTCATCGAGCTGAAACTTTGATTGAGGATGACAACTCTTCCAAGGATGATTTAAAACTGACACTTCCGGCTGGCGATTGCCAATCACCACTTCACATGCATTAGTCATATGTTCTGCAGAGCAGCGGTGTTTTGACTTCACCTCATTTCACTTCTGACAATCTTTACAAAGAAATTACTTTCAGTTGCTAGAATGTGTGATGGGTTTGAACTTAGGTCAGGGAGATTGAATTAACGCAGAGGGCATCCTTGTGCTGAAATCATACTAGCTTTTCCAAATAAAATGACTTACATTATTCAATCCTTTGGCACATATGGGTAAGACATGTCCTTTTGTGATGAGGATTTTCTTTTTCATGAGAACAGGTTATGATCTCCCATCAAAAGTATCTGGAGGTCCCAGGCATCACAACCTACGGCAATGCATTTCAACCTATGAAGAAATGCCTTAATGCCTTTCCCAACTATGCTAATTTGGCAGCTCAAATTCAGCTGCTATTTTTCCAGCTCAGCCATTCACTTCACAGACCTTGTCTTTGGTGCTGCATCTGTGGCAGGTGAGGCGCTCAGGCGTGGGGTAACCTGCGTGCCACGAGGTGGCGAGCCC